CATTGCCTTGTGCAATAACATTCTGCTGTCATGAAACACTTCACCAGTGGAACGTGTAGACCGCTATGTGATGTTAATTCAGTGCTACACTGGATACAACCCTCTGTACATGTTGTTGCTGCAAGCATGATTTAAGCAGCAAGAGAAAAGGCCTGGTAAGCCAGTCAAAGCTCAGGACAAGCAACTCTTCTTCTTCATATAAGACAGCAGAGTGATTATCGTCCAGATTGCTCAGCAAATTGTGTCCTCCGATGTAGGTTCACATAGACTGTTAAAAAACCAAAACCCCATTTACTTTCATTGGACATGCATTGGGCAGTTTAGCAACATGAAAAAGTGCCTTTCACTGAGTCACAGATTATTGGCTCATCTAGCTCAGGCTATGCTGACTGGCATCAGCTCTCCTGAGTTCCAGACAAGAGTCTCTCTCAATCCTTCTTGGAGAGGCCAAGGGTTGAACTCTGGACTTTTTGCATGCAAAGCATGTGCCCCACAACCAAGCCCCAGCCTTCCCCTAATTTTGGAAGACATGCTGGAAACAGAATATGAACCTTGGTCGGATCCAGCAGGCCAATTCTCAAGTGTGCTCTTGTTAGTCCCATAAATAAGGTTGTAATTTATCTGCTTCCTTATCCTGTGGGAGCAGCCCTATTTATAGGGACACTTTTCTTTGTCAACAGGGACTCTACCTATTCCCTTCTTTTCAAACATGGCAGGGATATAAATAGCACATGGCACTAAAGATCTTCTCTGGCCAGAGGGCTTTTGAACATCAGGTGCAACCCAGCAGCTCGCATGTGCAGGCTGGGGCTTAGACATGCATGCATAGCCCAAACAAGCCTGTTCTTCTCTGTGAGATCTTTCCATGAATGCAGAATGTTCCCGGTGTGTTCAAGCTTCCTTGCTCTGCTCACAGAGCTTTGGATCACAGCCAGTGGGTCACTAAACCTAGTGTTAGTCTAGATTGTTTTGCCCCATAGGTTAAAATACAATTTTGGCATAATTATTGATTACTATTGCTTCTATTGTGTTCCTTTTGTGCATTAAGTTCTCCCACCCCTTCTGTTTCTTATTGTTTTCTGCACTTCCAGTCTTATAGTTGGAGCCATTTTTGTGAAGTCTCGGTCTCTGCAAAAAGCAAACACACCTTTCCAACACCTGGTTCAGATCTCCTTCTAATAAAAAGCAACGCTGCTTCTGCTAAACTCTGTATCTTTCTCATCCACCTTCTCCCCTGACCTCACATCCCAACAGGCGTGCATTTGGTTCCAATTATCAGACAAACCCAGAAAAGGCTCTTGTTAGTGATCTTGGGGGTGGGAAGAGGTGGAAGGGTTCTGTGATTGTAGTTTCAGATCTCTTTGTCCCCCATCTGATATGAATTTCTAAAATGATAGATGGTTCCTCTGATTCAAAGTTCTTGTCAGAATAAAGCTCTTCACTTGTCTAATCGTTTTGAGAGCCGTCTCCTTGTGAGGGCAGGATGGGGAGCTCTCTCTCTCTCACACAGTTAATAATGCCACATAGAGAGATTTGCTTTATTTTCCTTGTCCAGTTGGTTTGTCACCCATACTGACAATGCAAAAAATTAATAATTAAAAAAATGTTTTGTGAACACTGCAATAGGTGAAACAGATGGGATTCCACATTCACAATCCAATCTGGTTAGAATTTGAAAAATAAAACAAAATGCAACTAACCGTGAAGTTCCAGTTAAAATAACTAGGGTGCATTATCACTGAATTCATGCATTTCACTTCTCTTTTGTGCTTTGACTGGGTTGAAGTCTGGTAAGAGGACCAACTTGGTGCTGATAAAATGAAACCAGTGTACAGTTCAGAATGAGGAGGAATATGATAGGAAGTCTGTCCAAAAATACAAATATGAGGGTTTTCAATGTGCACTGTGGCTCAGTTAACTGAAGACACCTGTTGATGAACAGGCTTTGGGGTTGTTGTTTTACACAAGCTAAGTGAGTAATCAATTTAATGGTGTAGCACAGATTTCTACTCCGTTGAAGTAACCATTTTTCAACCTGGAAACTGAAGCTGGAGAATAGTTGATGTGGCCCTGCCTTCCATATTCCATTGGATCAATCCATGGTTTTGGGGGAGCCATCAGTTATCAAAATGAATGTTCCAATGGTGCCTCTGGCCTTGGCTTCATCTTATTTATAGCCATATACCCCCCTCTCTTTTTTATTAGGTGGTTCCGTTTCATTATAGCCATTCTTACAGGATTCAGAGTTTCTTCCTCAAATAAACCCCACCCCATTTACCTCAGTGCTGAAAATTACACAGCAATAAATCATCCGCTGTAGGTGGTTCCTTGTTCCGGCTGGCTCCATGTGACCCTAGTGTGGTAGCTAGCGGTCAGCCTTGTAGTTGACCATTTCCCTTGGCCTCTTCATCCAATGAGACTTTTGTTTCTAATTTGTATTTCTCTTATGAAAACAGCCCTTTTGGGGGAATGGCTGTGCTGTTTGCGTTGTTTGAAATAGGCAGGCAACATGTTTAGCTTTACCCACAGTTACTAAAGCACAGTATGTTATTTCTATAAATGGGCCACGATGGTGTTTTGTTATGAAACGCCTTTTGACATAGGGCGGCCACAACCCTTAGGCTTCCAAATATATTTTGGTGCACTATAAAAATGTCAAATCTCTACGTATTTCCAAGGTATACATGCGCATTTCTGAGAAATGAGCTCCGCGAACCTTTACCAAGATGGAGAGATGAGATATTTATGAGTTATAAGTACCACCTTGCGTTTTCACTATCGGCTTATCCCCAAATGCTAGGCATAATTATAGTAATAAGGGGAAATGGGTATGAAGGTGAACAACCCTGAGACAAAGTGGCAAATTATCCAAAGAGTGTGAGCCTCCTTACACACTGAGCAAAATGACACGTTTGGGACTGGAGGATTAGAATTTTGTATGGTACTACTTCAGACTGCAGAGAGAGGGTTATTTTTCTCTCTCCTTTTAAAATGTTCGTGTGTGTGTTTTAAACTTCTCTGAAAGTGATAAACTGGTACATCTGTGAAAGGGCTATTTTAAAACCTGGTGTGCTAGGTAGCTTAATGCACAGAGTGGTACTGACCAGAAATCTGTGTGATGTTTTGAATGGACATAAGGACTGCTCTACACATGCAGCAAAATGGTTGCGTTCTGATGTGGTAGAATGAATTGTAGTACCTCAGGCTTCTGGTAGAGAACTACATATATTTATAATGGGCCCTCCCCTCTGTGTTCAAACAAACAAACAAACAAACAAACAAACAAACAAACAATGCCCTGTAAATAGAAAACATGACAGAGCTAGAAGCAGAGTGTGTTAGAGCTCACTCTCTGATTTCATCATTTCTTGCAGGGAGTTTTGCTCAAATAGCATTTCCCTCACCTCCCACACATAAGAGGACAGGACAGACTGTACAGGACAGTCTATCACCAGAAGATTCTACCACCTCCTTCTGCTCTGTGTGTAGACTAAACATGACTTCGTGAGAATTCTAGTCATTGGAGCCAAATGGACAATGAAAACTGGTTTCATCCTGAGCCCCTCTCAATGTCAGAGTATAGCTGGGGGGCAGGGACAATCATTTACCCCACCCTGGCCACAGGGCTGCTTTCGCCCTGGATTATTGTCAGGAGTTGGAGTCAAATGTAGGTCAGCAATCAAAGAAAAACAGTGTCAGTGAAGTTAACTCTTTATTCAAGAAACCAAAACAGTGCAGGCCTAGTGATCCCAGCAGTTCTTCCCAGTACGTCTTGCTACAACAAAGCCGCTGGAGACTGAAGGTCCCCACCTTCCCACCACTTCCTAAGTCTCATCCTTTCCAGGGTCTTTCCCAAGCAGTCACAAACAGCACCTGCACACAACCCTCCTCCTATTCTGCCCTATTCAATTCTCTGCCTGTTCTAGGAGAGCAGAGGGAAACTGCCTGGCTTCCTCTGCAGCCTGCAACTCTGTCTCTTGGCCCCACTCCCCTCCAGCCTGCGCTTCTGCCTCAGAGTCTGAACTGCCCTCTGTCACAGCCTCTTCCTGCTCACCAAACCCTGTTACTTCTGCTTCTGATACCTCCCCCTCCCAGTCTCCTCCTTCACCCTTCTTTGACCACTCATTGCTGTCCCACCACCAATCCCCTGGTTCTGAACCTTCTTCCCCTGGGGGTTCCCCATATAGTGCCTCCCACCACTCCTATGCATCCAGCCAGTCCATGACAACTATGGTCTAGTTCATGGGTAGGCAAACTAAGGTCCAGGGGCCGGATCCGGCCCAATCACCTTCTAAATCCAGTCCATGGACAGTCCAGGAATCAATGTGTTTTTACATGAGTAGAATGTGTCCTTTTATCTAAATTGCATCTCTGGGTTATTTGTGGGGCCTATCTGGTCTTTTTACATGAGTAGAATGTATGCTTTTATTTAAAATGCATTTCTGAGTTATTTGTGGGGCATAGGAATTCATTCATTTTTTTCTTCAAAATATAGTCCAGCCCCCCACAAGGTCTGAGGGACCATGGACCGGCCCTCTGCTGAAAAAGTTTGCTGACCCCTGGTCTAGTTCTCCTCCATCATACTGTGTTTCATTCTAGCATTTGGGGCTGAGGTGTTTAAATTTGGATATCCAGTCACTAGCCAAGGTCAATTCAGGTGATCACATCCTCCATGGCTGGTCATGAAATTGTCTGGTTATGCCCAGTCCTTAAATCATTGCTTCTTATTTAATTGATCTTAAACATCAGCACTTCATGCCTAAATATTTGCTTTCTGGAGACTGCCACCAAGAACAAGTTCAGCGAAGGACAGGGTGTGCATATTATGCTGCTGCAAAGTACAATATTCAAATATTTAACCAGTAACAGGTCAAGAGTACAAGAGGATTTAGAGACACTCCTGAACCTCTGTGTGCTGTCCAAAGTTCAGTTAATTTAAGAAACACCAGGCAGATCATTAGGTAGTTTTAACTGTATCGACGAGCTGACAATGGACCCACACTTTTTCTCAGGAGCTTCTTCTCAGGAGAAGAGTTACGCTGATCAGGCCAAAGGCCTGTCTAGTTTCTTGCATTGACAAAATAAGTTCATGGAGGTTCTAGCAGGGGAGCGCAGCTATCGTATACCCTTGACCGAAGAACGGTACACTCCTTCTATCTGGGATGGTCGTCCTCTTCCACCGAGCGCGCAGCTTCGGGAGGGACGCACATGGAGCGGTGAGGGAGGAAGGGGACACCCGCCTAGCCAGCCAGATCAGCCGAATCAACCCTGGCGATCAATGGGGTGACAGATGTCGCAGCCAGATCGCCCTCACATCCCCGGTGACCACTAATGTCAGTATTCAACAGTTAACAGCCGAAACTATAGAACATTTGGCTAGTTTGCCATGTATGGAGAGCAATGGGCCGGCTCATAAAAAAGTAATCCCTAAAAGCACCTTGGGAAATAATTGACAAAGATTAGACCAGAGACAAACACCAGCCGGCTCCCTATCTCCGCGGAAATCCGATATCATTAGATACGAACAGATTCAACCCTCACTCACAAATCAAGCAAAAGCAGTTGTTTCCTTGAAAGACGCACCCAACCTACCCCAGAGCCTTAAAATTGTCTCCTGGAATGTTAACGGCTGGGCGACAAAGCAAATGGATCCTGAAGCAATGAATTTCATCTCTTCTTTCGACATTGTATGCCTCCAAGAGACCTGGTCCCAACAAAGTATTGTTCTCCCAAATTATTGCTCCTTTAGCTCCTGTGCTCGTAAACTAACCAACAGGGGTCGCCCCCAAGTTGGCCTCGCCTGTCTTATTTCAACCAGCTTACCCCTCACTATTTGCGAGGAAATTAAATCTTCCCCTTACTTTCTCACCATAAAGATTCATCTCCCAAAGACCAAAAGCCCATGGTTGATAACTACAGTATATCTGCCCCCAGCAATTAATGATTTCGACCGCAATGAAAGGTGGTCTGAACTTTCGTCTTGGCTCCATGATCTCCAAACAACTAACCCAGGACTCCCTCAAATCCTCTTAGGCGACTTTAATGCAAGAATAGGTCCCAACGACGATGATATAATATCTCCCGCAGCACTCCTGGACAATCCCCTGCAGCCCCCCTGGGAAACAGATGCTCTCTTGATCCTATAACAAATGCGTCGGGAGGCTGATGGCCCAACTGGCCATGGAAAACGATCTCTGCATCGCAAATGGTAACATTACTCCCTTGTCCTCGCAGCAATTAACGTGCATCACTTCCCGGGGAACCAGTGTTGTCGACTACATTTTATTGACGCCGGAGCTATTCTCAATTTCTACAAAAATGGAAGTGGCTGAATATTTTGGTGGTGACCACCTTCCATTGACTCTAATGTTAAACCTAATAGAGCCACTCCCAGTCTCCTCAAACTATAGAACCATGGTACAAAGCCACCCTGTATACAAAACAAAGAAATGGACAAGCCTCAGCTCCTCTCTTGCCCTGGACATACAAAAATCATTTGATATGTCTGCAGTTCCCTCTGATCCAATCCTGCCCGCTGACCAATACCGGAAATTACTTGATGCTTTCTCAACAACTTACATAACCACCACCTCGCCTACTTACCAACGCCTCTTCTCTGAATCGCCCTGGTTTGACAAGGAATGTAAAGCCCTAAGAAGGCGAATTAGGAAAATGGTCAGAATCATCAAATCTTCCAACGACCCCCAAACCCGTGCAAAGCTCATAGATATTAAAAGGACATATAGAAACATGATTCATTGCAAGAAACAGCAGTACATCTTTGAGGCTTGGTCCACTCTTCGTTCGGCTGTAGAGAGGCATGACTCCCGCTCCTTCTGGCGCCTAGTTAGACCTTCGGCACCATTCAATCCAGCTACCCAGATTTCCGCGGATGAATGGATTGCTTATTATTCAACTAGTTTCGCTTCTCCAAACCATCTTACAGATCTCCTCCAATCCCCATTGGACCTCAGTTCCTGCTCTCTTAGTCCCACTTCTTCAATAAACTTTACTTCAACTCGCATTTTCAACATCATAATGTCAATGCAAAGGAATAAGGCCCCGGCCCAGACATGGTCCCGTTGGACCTTTTCCTGACTGATCCTCTTTGGTGGAGCGAACACCTGACTCCTGTATTCACCGCTATCTCCTCCGCCCTAGACATCCCCGACTCCTGGAGAGAAGCTATAATAGTTCCGATCTTCAAAGGCGGCCAGCCAAACATCCCTAGGAACTATCGCCCCATCAGCTTATTATCCATCCCGGCAAATATTTGCCGCTGTTTTACTGGAGGAACTTCTCTCATGGGTCCAGGAGAGGAACATTCTACCGCTAGAACAGATTGGTTTCCGAAAGTCAGCGTCAACCATGGACCATTGTCTAACTCTCTTTCACCTTGCCAGTAAATACACTGCTCCAAGGCAAGGCCACCTATTTGCCGCTTTCATGGACCTGGAGGCCGCCTTTGATTCCATTCCTAGGCAGAGATTATGGTCCAAACTTGCCCATCTGGGAATTGATCCGCACCTTCTCTCCCTAATTATCTCCCTTTATTCAAACACCACAGCTCGCGTCCGAACTAGTCCAAACGGCTCCCCACTACTCCATTTCCAACGGCCAAGGGCGTCCGACAAGGTTGCCTCTTGGCCCCTTTACTGTTTAATCTCTATCTTCATGATGCAATTTCCACTTTGAAGCTAGCATCTAAGTATCCTCCTCACTTAGCAGGCCACCCCGTTGCTTCCCTTTTCTATGCTGATGATGCCGTCATCTTATCCAGAACAGCTGCGGATCTAGCAAATGCAGTTAATGCATTTATCGCCTATTGTAAGGCGGAAGCTCTTAATATTAATTATAAAAATCGAAAGTCCTCCACTTCACTCGTTCCCGCAAACTCAAGTTGGAGCCGCTTAAGATCACAGGTGGCTACTTAGAAAAGGTAAAAGCCTTTAAATATTTAGGATTAATATTCACCTATAATCTCTCCTGGACCACCCATCTACAATCTGCCTTTCTCGCTGCAACCACGACCTCTAACGCCATTGTCCGATTTTACCACCAGAAGGGCGGCAAACACCTTCCAGCAGCAATTCAAATATTTAATGCCAAAGTCGTCCCTAAATTATTATATGGATGTGAAGTATGGACTACAGCAATATCAGGTAACCTGGATCGTCCACTTCATATGTTTCTGAGATCTCTTTCCGGCGTCCCGAGATGTGTCTCAGGTGCAGCCCTACGACTCGAGTTCGCCCAGCCTTCAATTGCTAGACGAGCATGGAGCCGAGCCATTTCCTACACCCTCCACCTATTAGCATCGGATGCTCGAATTAGAGGTGGCTTTTCCAATCTGATCCTAAGAGATATTCATAATTCCCCTTGGAAAACTACAATTAACCTCAAATTCCGCTCTCTTCTCAATCTGAATTGTAAAACTGTTCTTAACTTAGAGTGTATCAGCCCGGTGGCCCTACCCCTAATTAAAAAGAAACTACAGCAACTTGACTTCTCCAACACAGCTTCTTGTGCAAGAGGACCGTGTTCAGGCCTAGCCCTAGCTATTCCACCCCCTGAAGGGATCCCTCTATACTGCTTCACAATTTCTTCGGAGACTAAGCGAAGGGCTTTTACCTGTGCCCGTCTCAACTGTTTTCCTACAGCAGTTCTGTCGGGTCGTTATTCCAGAGTTCCCATCGCAAACAGAACATGCTCCTGTAATGACACGGCCCTGGAGACTATGGAACATGTAATGCTCTTCTGTCCCAACTGGACAGATGAAAGATCTCGGTTTTTAACTCCCCTCGTGAATAAGTTCCATCTCCCAATCCAGCCTTGGATAGTGTCCCTCTTTTTGCAGGATTCTGATTGTTGGATTACTGAGATGACAGCTAATTTCCTGCTTAGTGTGATGAAGAGGAAAGCGGCACTAACTTCTTCCTTAACACCACAGATGCAGTCGATACGCCGCACAACCGAACGAAGTTCCAAGTAGCCTTATTGTACAAGGACAATCGAGTTAGGACTAATCTGAGGAGCTGAAGGACCCTTTAACGGTCCTCCTCCAGCCTCAGCAGCTTTTTTTTTTTTTTTCCACTTTCTTTAAGTATTCGCCCAGGACGATGTCTACCTCTACCTCCCCACCCCCATTTTATGTTGTTATCTCAATGTATATCATGCTATGGCCACTCGGCTAATGCAATAAATAAATAAATTATAATTATAAGTTCATGGGAGACTGTCCCTGGTTTATCTTTGAGCTGTGTGTAATAATACCCTTTGTCTGCCCCACGTATTCTACCTTTCAGCTTCAGTCATGATCTCAGATTCTAGTATTATGAGAGGGAGAAAAGGTTCTGTCAGCTTTCTCCCTGCATAATACATATTAGCCATACATTGTGTCATGTGTCATAAGTATATTTACTGTGTCAGGTCAATACCTAGCTGTGCACTGATAAGCAGCATATGAGCTAATGTTTACTGATAGAAAATAGGTCAAGTATTGAGACCTACAGGCAGAGGCGAGTCTTGCCACAATAATTATAGCTGCAATAAATCTCATCCTTCTGCAAATGTTTTGTGGAACTGATGCTGGCTGAGTGCCCTGTGGTTCTGTAAGGCTTGTTGAGAGAACCTGTTGAATTTGATCTTAATTTTGATCAATGATTATGGCGGTTTTGATCATAATTACCTGATTCAAGAAGTAAAGCTGTTTTTCAGCGCACGTCTTCCAAGAACCATATGGGACTTTTCATTTAATGCCTGTTTGCTTGAATGCATCAGCAAAAGTGGACAAAGTATGGTTTGGCTTTGTGATAGAATGGGAAATGGAATATTCTGACAAATGTGCATTATGAGGACTGTGTAAGCCACACCTCCACTATTTCTCTGTAAGTTGATCATGATCCCCCAAAGAGGTCTTCCCATATCCCTTCCCATTAACCACAACTCTTTTCTTTCTCCTGCTGCAAATAATTGTCTGCCTTTATTTGTATACACACACTTTTGGAACCAATCCCCATTAAAATTCAATGACTTGATTCCACAGAAACACGCATAGGATCAGAGTGCTATCATGGAGTAAAATCAGAAAGGTATGAGTCGCTATACTCATCACTACATCTCAGGAAGGATGTACCTAATGTGGAACATAACCCAGCCTTCTATGCTGGTGCCAGGGTACTTTTAGGCCAGATGTACATATTAGACAGCAGCACACAATATCGTTGCACATGCACTGGGGTTTGCAACATGTTCCCAACAGCATTGTTGGCAACCTAAATGAATATATGTACCCTGATGAGGTCAAGTTTCTCGGATG